AAAGAGGCAAAGTGGGCACTGGATAGAAAAGTTAAGCACAAAGCGAAATTCTTCGTACAAATTTGTTTCTATATAAAGCGTATTTGTTCCACACAAACCCAACCCAAGACGTGGATAACTCAAGTAAAATGTTGTGATGTCTTCAAATGAATGGAAGCAAAAATCTCTTCATCAAAGAACATGGTCTTTCTCAGAAATCATTTTCTTCATTGAACTGGGCCCGAAGTGGCTAAAACTAAAACTTTTGTACCTTAAAGAAAGTCTTCAAATGCCCTTTCAAAGAATGGTTTTACGTCGAGTTTAGATGTATGTTAGTTAAGCCTTGAAGTAAAAGATGTGTTGGTATGATACTTTTAATTTTAATACTATTATCTATTTGTGGTGGCCGAATTTTGCCATTCAAAAGGCATCGATTGACATGCGGTTTTCGCCAAAAGATTCTTTAAAATATTCTCCAGATCATGACGCCCTTGGTTTTTTTCAGTTTTGAGACAGTTTTGCTTCTAAAAGCTAAATTTCTTTATTTCGCCGATCGCTTTTGTAGGCTGACGCTTCTGTCTCTGCAATTTCAGAAAATCCGAAAGTGATATTTGGAGAGGCGCATTTTGTTTTGAGAGTATAGATCTAGACCTTCTAATTTTTTGCATCTCTCAAGATTTATTGCCCCATTCCAGTAGAGTGTAAATATAGTAGGCCAATGACTTTTAGTTGATATGAAATCATCGATCATTCCTTTCATTGAAAAGGGGGCCCAGCTCGTACTATCTACCAAGTAACAGCACAAACAGCTCAGGTCCACAGAAACCTCAAGCACATAAATATGAGCTCACTGCAGACACCCTGAACAATCGGAACATCCCCCCCCCCCATTTTTTATCGGTTTTCTTAGGCTACTTTACACCTTGCATCACCAAAACCAAGCATTCAGACCTTTGAGCCAGATAAATACTGGCAAACGCACAGTTGGCATCATACTGTACCGATATCATTCAGACTCCACTCTCACACTCATGTACCAAAGATCATTTTCAACTACAAAAAAAACTCTACAAACAAAATAAAAAAAGTTCAAAACAGTGAAAGTCTTGATTTTAGGCTCAAAGAATCTCAAATTCATCGACAAAATTCTAGTACTACAAAATAAAAAGGAGAATGAAAAAAAAAAACAAGGGTAAAAAAATAACATGCAGAGACCATGGCTATATTTGCCAATGCATAAAGCACATCTAGTCATAGGGAGCAAGTAGGAAACAGCTTTCATGTCAAAGTCCAAGCCAAAAAACACGTAAACACATTAAAGTCTAAAAAAACTGATGGACATCATAAGCTTGCTGACATCGCCAGAAAACACATCTTTAAAAAAACAACCAAGGGATATATGCTATTACATCAAAACAAAAAAATACTAACCAGACTTAAGAAAACAAAAAAAGCGAGTCTAATAGAAATAGAAAGGACACGTGTATATGCCATAAACAAAATTTTAGACGAAAGTGTTAGTCCAAATGCACTAGCAAGTCTTGGACATAATTTCATAAATAAAAACAAAAGTATAAGCTTATTATATATTAGGACATCACGACCTCAGTGCTTTCTGGTCGAATCTACATTTTTAACAACAGTGAAAACAGTTCATAACATTGTTCAAAGAGTGAGCTTGAAGACCGTTTCACATGGAGCTGTGTGCGGCGAGGGATCGATGACGGAAGAAGTTCGTCGGCTGAGTTTGGAAACTGCTGCTTTCTTTTATTTTAGATCACCAGCTGTTCGCGGTGTTTCAGCCTCCGCTTCCCGGAGCGAACATGGCTCAACAAAAAAGTTAAATATTGGATGGATCTGAAAAATAACCCCATTTTTTAAATCAGCACTTCAAAATCAATCTATTTGCTCGTGGGCACTCTCACTCTCATGTTTGCGATATTAAAAAAAACATATTCTATTCAGTTTTCTAAGATAATCTAGCCGGCTAGATCGAGAGGATTCGTAGACAAACACACATTCACACACATAGATGCAGACCTCATATATCGACACAGTAGGCCAAGCAGTGGTGATGGTGTGTTTTCCTGCTCCATTGCAAGTGGAGATTGATTGTAAATCATGACTCTAGCTGTTTGAGGTTCATTGATCACAATTTGTGTGCAAAATGAAGTTTTCAACTCCAATTTATGAAAAACTTATCAAACTCTTTTGGCAAAGTCCATCCCTGTATGATGCTGCCTTACTACAAAACAAGGACACTGCTGCACTTTCGCTCACAAACACCGCAATCATATGAACATTAAAGTGCGTGTAATTTCTGCAAACCTCCAAAGGGCCGTCACCGCACACCGCTACGTGTGAATCGGCCTTCAGAAGAAGTCACATTTTTCATGTTAAAAAAAAAGGGAGATACGACAAGAAGCACTGGGGCCGCAACATGCGAGTACTGGACACACAGTTTTTATTGCATGTTTTTTTGCCCTTTTCGTTTTGCATTTTGAATTCGCAATTTTGAGTTACTCAACGTCATGAGTTTCAATGCAGTATACAATAATTTAAAAGTAGTTTGAAGAAAACTAAATGAAAACAAAAGCAAAGTTTTTCATTGACAGACCAAAGGCTAAACAGGCCACAAGCATAAAGGTTCAGAAGTGAGGCTAGACCGATCAAACAAGGAATTACCATTTGTGCACCAGAACTATACTATAAAGTCACCAAAAAAATATATGCATAGAGGGGCAAGGTGAGAAATCAAAACACATACACAAAGAAGCTGAGACTTGAATAATTTTTAATTCCGTGTTCTTTGTTTGATAATATTTTGCTCTAGAGGTTCTGAAAAAAAAAATTTCTGCATGAATACCAGTGATGAGCACCGGCCAGTTGGAATGTAGGGCTTGTCCACTGGGCTGCAAGCGGAAATAAACTATCACCCTTTGCCTCAAATGTAATCAAATCATTCTCCAACCTTTTCTTTTCACATGACAGACTATTGCATGCACACATATATTCAAGGTACATGTGTAACCTTATCTAGTGCACACACGCAAAACAGCAGACGTATAATATGAACATGACATTGGCATATGCATTACTCTTGTGTATACATGCAAAGTCTCAGCCAGGTTAATTCATATCGGAAAAACAAAACCCAAACTATGTTGCACAGACCACATTAAAATCTCAACAAACAGGTAAAATAGGCTAAAGTGCCCCATACACGCTCAAATTTGTCTGTCAATCATTTTTGATCAAATGTTTTTGACAGTTTGACTTACATGCTCAAATTTTTTTGAGTCAAACATTAGTTTGTGCCAAGAGTTTGTAATGGAAGGACCAACAGCATTGGCTCTTGCTTTAGCCTAGCGAAGAAAAACAAAAAAGAAAAAGTGGGACAAAAATCCAACCAAATATTTGGCCATTTTAAATTATTAGATGAGTTGCGATGTACTGAGCCAAATGATTTCAGAAACTTTTTGTGGATGGAGGCAGTTTTGTTTGATGAGCTTTTCGAACTTGTGAGACCTTTTATAAGTAAACAAGATACAGTAATGCGTAGTGCCATATCAGACAGACTTCGATTTTTGCCGGTGTTTGTTGACTACGCAGGAATATAAGACCATCAAAAAACCATAATGAAGGCCTGCAGATATCTGCACCGGCCCCAGACTTTAGAGAATCATCCAATTTCTTCAACTTCCTTCGAAAACTCGTCCGCATTGAATTAATTTTCTTTTTCAGTTCTTCTTTTGTGGCATCCGCACTCCAGTCCCTGTATTTCAGCAGCAGAGCAGGGCTGGATCCTGCTCGCCAAATTTGAGAGTGGCGATTCGCGATTCAATCGGCTTCAAAGAATCGAGAGTACGGAAGCACTCGTGGAACTGTGGCGGAACACTGACTGAAACGGAACAGTGTCATATCAACGCCACTTGGCGAGCGCGAGTCCCACTCTTGCTGTTCCGCCATCCTCTCCGCCCCACACCCTTTGTTGCGCTGCTGTATCAACTGACCTCAATTGTGACCCCCATAAATTCACCCCCCCCCCCATCCCCATGATTCGCTAAAACCATGGCTCCATAAAATTCCTTCTGTCTATTGGTTGGACCCCGTTCATTTTGTTTTAATAGGGGGGTTGGACTATACCATCTTTTGTAAAATAAGGGGAGCTGTGCTCAGTGTTCCGTTCCCTTCTTGCGCTCGTGACTCGACTCAGCAGTAGGTTAAACAAGCCACAGGGTGGTGACAGCGACAGGGGAGTAAATCATGAATCGTTTGGCGATACTGTTCCGCGTTCCGCTGAAGTGAATCGTGAAACGCGCTCCGCAGGCAAGAGTGGCGATTCAGTTCCGTTCTCGCGCTCAGCCCTACAGCAGAGTCATATGCAGCTTCTTTTTTTTAATAAATCTCAGTCACTGATTCAGGCAAACTCTGGTACACTTCAATCAGCTCCAGAATATTTTTTTCATCCTTTGATGGTGCCATGATGATATAAAGAGTAAATCTTTTCTATCCGGCAGCAACTGAAAAAATAACGTTTGCACTAACAAATTTCATGAAGCCCACAAACGATCAAATAGTTTGACGATTTGACCAAAAATATCAACTGAAAACAGATCCGCCAAATATTTGATATTAAATTATTTAGACCAGGCAGTTATTTTGCCCATACACGATCAAAAAACTGTCAAAAAATTGGTGTCAAACGTATTATCTGATCAAACCATCAAACAAATTTTAGCGTGCATGGGGCACTTAAAATACACCCAGACAAACAATGATCATGACCATGCCAAGCCATCTTCCTTTCATACAACCAGCTTACGCCAAATCCTCAGAATCTTCTGGCCCGACAAGATATCCAACGCAGATCTGTTACGTAAATGTAGGCAAGAGGACATGACAACCATAATAAAAAGAAGGTGGAGAGGATTGGACATGTTCTGAGAAGAGAACCAGACTCTATTGTGAAGACTGCCCTACACTGGACACCCGAAGGACGTCACAAAAGGGGCAGACCCAAAATGACCTGGAGACGCACAGTAGAGTCTGAAATGAAGTCCTAGAATAAATCCTGGGGAACGCTGACCAAGATGCCCCAAAACAGACAGGGCTGGAGATCCCTTGCTGCCCTAAACGCCAGATAGATGGCGTAATGGGTAGTAAGTAAGTAGACGAACAATTCAAAACTCAACATCAACACACAGAATTCACGTCATAAAAATGGTTTGCATGTTTCCCTTGTACACACATATAATAAATACAGACACACACAGACATTCAGACATTGATGCATATTTAAAAAAGAACAGTTCAAAATCTGCACACAGGGTACATACATAAAAAAGATGAAAAAAGCTCGTCTAAACCAGGCGTAACGGTGTAAGTGAAAACCGGTCTGAGCAGCCGCACCGTTGCTCTAGAGTCGACTTTGAGGTACCCATGGCTCGTGGAAAAAATTGCCTGGTAACGGCGTGCAGTGGGTTGAGTGGAAGTTCTCCATGTGAACGGTGACCTTTGGGTTAGAGAAAAAAATATAAAAATTTATTGATCCACAAGGGTAATTTTGGGTTGAAAGACTCAGCATGACTAACACAGAAATATGCACAACTCAGTAACACAAGTGTACCCAAACAATGTGTACATTGGCTCTCTCTCTCCTCTCTCTCTCTCCCCTGTCTCTCTCCTCTCTCTCTCTCACACACACACACACACACACACACACATATACACACACACACACACACACACACACACACACACACACACACAAAGACCTAAGGAATAGTTTTATTTCACAGCCGGTCGGCAAAGAAAAACCCCAACAAACAAAACAAAAAATCACTCTGTGAAGCCAAGAAGCTGAATAAGACGGGAGTAACCGTCGGTGGCCTAATGGTTAGGCTAGCAGACTTTTAATCGTGAGGTTGCGGGTTCGAGCCGCGGGCCCGACATTGTGTCCCTGGGAAAGGCACTTTACACCAATTTTCTTCACTTCACCCAGGTGGGAATGGGTGCCTGGCCATAGACAGTCAAAGATCTTGTCAGTATGTTAGTGTTTTAGCGCATATAAATGGCTGCTAGCACTGTATGCTTCCCAGGAAGTTGAGGTTGTTTCAGAACGCTCTCAGGTCTGCTGGGGTAACAGTATACATTGTGAAGCGCATAGAGCTTGCTGTTGAGCGGGGATTGCGCTATACAAATGCTATCTATAATTATTAATCAGCAGAAGAGGTTAAAGGAGCAGAATTAACAATGAACATGTTTAGTTTTAGAAAAGAGTTTTTACTGCACTTCCAATGCAAATGTTATGTAAATTCTGAAGGAGTAAGATACGGAGAAAAGGAGATTATATAAGGATGACAGATGTTCTACAGGAAAGAAGGAGCAAACCACACCAAAGTGCCCGCCGACCACCCAGCAGTGTAAGTCAAAGTGTGTGGGTGAATGTGTGTGTGTGTGTGTGTGTGTGTGTGTGTGTGAGAGAGAGAGAGTGTGTTGTGTGTGTGTGAGAGAGAGAGAGTGTTGTGTGAGTGAGAGAGAGTGTGTTGTGTGAGTGTGTGTGTGAGAGAGAGAGAGTGTGCGTGTCTGTGTGAGAGAGTGAGTGTTTGTGTGAGTGAGTGAAAGACTGCGCAGGTGGACATGGTGTTGGTTGACTCAATGGTTCTCAAATAAGAAAGAGATCTGAGTTAGAAAGAATGAGTGAGAGTGTAGAGTAATCATGAGCATATTTATATTATGTGTGAGCTCTTCCCTACTAAACATGAGCTTCTCTGAATACCCAGTGCTATCTTTTTGTTCAGATTCATATATACCACCATCTATTCAATTTTTAAAGCATATTTCATTAAATTTAGTCATATATATCTCTATTTGATATGGTTTGATACACTTAACAGGTTTTCCTTCATGAAGAGACAAAGGCAACATTTTGACACAATTAGATTAAATCCTCTAAAATTAAGGGGGTGTAGGTAGCTAGGGTCAACACCCAAAGGCTATAGTCCTTAGTCTAAGGCTCGCCTCACATAGAAGTGACTTTTCACGCGTCACGTTCTATTACAGACATGCAACATCACACGCCTTGTTTTATCTCATCACATAGAATCTTGGTTTCGTCATCCATTAGTGTCCTCATTGTCTGTGCATGCTTGTTTCTTTTTTCTGCTTGCATACTTTTTCAACAGTTTACTACGGCTGGGCTTAGCACACATCTACTCTACTAGAGCTGTACTCAACTCAGGAGGTGACAAAGACACGTCTCAAAAAGAATCAGCATGCACATTCCTCCCCTGATGTGAACACACGCTTTACAAAGTGACTAGTGTGAGGCAACTGCTATGTGAGGATTGCGGTTAAAATTATACTGAACACTTTTGCTTACACAAGTGACCTGTGTGTATTCACCCGCGTGACGTGTCGAGTGACGCTCTATGTGAGGCTGGCCTTACGCTTGCTTTTCAGCATCAAAAGGGGTGACATAGTACAAAACAAAGTTACCAAGCAAAAAATTCAAGACTTTAGCCATTATAATCTCGAGCCATCAAAAATAAAGGATTGATTCAGCATTTTTAAAACTGATTTTATCTTATGTCAATCACCAACATAGAAGCCTAATATTTGGCATGGTGATTACTGTTGGTAGGTACAATGACCGTACAGAACCAAATTTGAACTTTCTGTACTAACTTGTGAGCTTTACAGTAGGTACTTCTTATGCACTATATTTAGGTCTCCAATATTTTCAGATTTTGTAAAATAAAAAAGGCCTAAAACTCCAAATGCGTACCCGGGTACCATAAACAGCAAAAATGCTTCTGAGAGGTCAAAGATAAATATGTGTGTATAAAAGATTGTGTGCAATTTTGAATAAATTCTAAAAGTAACTTTCTAAGACCTACTCGAAATAGTGTTGCAACCTGGTCAGATTAACAATTCTGAGAAAACTGCAAAGAGAGATAATTTTTTGGTGGAGATTTTCCTATATAAATAGACTATTGCTACCTCCCTCAAATGCATTTTCCAGCTATCTATAAGTTTGATAAAGAAATTAGGCTTCTAAAGATGGATTCTTGATATTGATATCTATAAAGATATTCCAAAATCCGAAAAAAAAAAAAAAAATTTCAGTATTATAAATACTTTACTGATCTGAGCAGGGGGCCCCCCTAAAATATGTTTGCAAAAGTTGTTATCAGCTTTTTAGTGTTTGAGTGCATGTAATCTGCAGCTTGCACTGTATGCTTCCAAGGAAGCTGAGAATGTCCCAGAGTGTTTTAGTGTCTGCTGGGGTAACAAGTAACAGTCGTTGTAAAGCATATAGAGCATGACACAGTAGAGCTTGGATATGTGCTGTATAAAAGCAATTATTATTTTAATCTAATATTTATTTTATATTTTCTAGATCACGATTTGACATGTTTGGTGAAAACAATTAATCAGGAGGGCAGTACCCATTCTGGGTCAGATTTTTTGTTAGCATGCAGAATGTGACAGCCTCTCTTTTATCTTAAGTTTTTACTGCATTTGCAACACAACATAAATAAGTAAGTAGCCTCCAAAGATTAGAGGTTACAAGAGGGTAACAAGCAAAAAAATGAAGGAGGAGAGATAAGGATGACAGATGTTTGATAGGACAGAAGGAGCAAACCACACCAGAGCCAACCATTCACTGACAGCCTCTCATGGACTTCTGTGCCAAATTTGATGAAGAAAAGTAAAAGTGCACTGGCCAACCCCATCTCTCAAATGTATCAAACCATATCAAAAAGGGATTTCATAAATCTTTCTCTGAAGTGTGCTCTGGGAATACAGTTGATCTGTCAACCGAAGGTTCCACTTAAAATTTTTTTTAAAAACCATCGAATACCCACACTGTTGTTCGAGACCCGAAAAGAACCACTTCTCTCTAAAATGGTCTTCAACCAACAGTAACACAAAAGGCATTTGCTCGATTAAAAAGTCATCCTAAGCAGAGCTGAGATTCACAACTTACCAGGTACAGTGCTAGCTTGATCTTCAAACCTTCATCTCCCTTCACATCTAGAGAAAAGAAAGAACGGTAATAAAAGTCATCAACACAGATTAATTCCGTCAGGAGTTGTGCTTCTTTTACCCCGCATACACTCTCAACCCATTCAAAAGAATTCCCTCCGTCCCCCCTCACCTTTCAACATGTCCTTACTGGACACAGATCAGTTACACAGCACATGTGAAAGCCAGGGTCCATGTGTCTCATTTGTTGGTTTCAGTAATCGTTTCTCTCTGCTTATTCTCCTCTCCCCCTCCATCTCCTTTTCTCTTGTTGTCTCCCTCTCTCTTATTTTGTGCATTGGGTATAAGCAAGATGATTAGTGACCCCATTCAAATTACCATTGGGTCAGACATGTTTTTGACCACAGAGTTGGAACACACATATCCCCCCCCCCCCCTCCCAAACCCCTCTCAAAGAGTAATTAATAAAATTGCCTTGCCAGCACAAACCTGGAACACACCTGACACTTTATCATGAAAGAAAATCCCCTTCCCTCAAAAACAATAAACTCCACTATCTAGTGATTCGTTTTAGAAAGCGTTTTACAGCACTTGCAACACAATTAAGTCATATAAGTGCCGAAAATTAGAGGTGTAACAAGCACAAAAAAAGGAGAGACAAGGACGATAGACATTTGAACAACCACAGCACCCGCCGCCAACCACCCACCCACTCTCTAACAACTGAGAGTTCAATGATCTAATCACAAAAAGATGCCAGGCTTCTAAGAGTCTATTCTTCTTACCAAGAGCCATGGGGAAATTGGTCCCGCTCTCGGCAACGTGCTGAGAAAACACTTTATGGCACTCCTCTGGGACGACAAGCCTCTCTTGTAGCATCTCGGCTGAAAGAGGAATAATGTGGAAAGTCAAACCAAAGGATGATGAAAAATCACCACTACTCCATACAATCCATGAACTTTAAAAAAAAAAACTGAAAGTGGCTATTCTCACCCGCCCGGAAGTTCTCGCAAGATCAACTCCTCCCCTCCTCTCTCTCTCTCTGTCTCTTTCTGAATACTGTCTATCGGTGTGGACGATCAAATTGACCAAAACAAAGTTAAAAAATGATGTTAAAACACAAAAGTAAATTAATTTGGTTGTCTACAAAGATGCTACGGCTATTTAACTTTTCGAATCGAGCCGAACTACGCGGGTCACCATTTTGTTTTGCCCGGAAATTCTCGCGCTACTCCTCTCTCTCTTTCTCTCTCTCTCCACTGCCCACAGACAAAATTGTACGCTTTTAGTAGGCTACAGTTGTAATGGAACGTTTGTTCACGGCACAGAATTTTACAATTTTTCTGTTATCACAGTGTAGAATTCTATGGTTTAGGGTGAACGCAAAATTTGTTGGCCTAGATCTAGGCTATAACGGTGAACGCGCACCGGGTGAGAATAGCTACAAGACTCGCCTGCACTATTCTCACTCCGGGTGAGAATAGAGGTGGCCTAAAAAACAAACTCTGTTTTCATATATTCGTTCAATAAGACAATAACAATAATGATAACAATTGCATAATAATAATAATAATAATAATATGTCGTCTGTACCGATGATTGTCTTACCGATGATTGTCTTGCACAGGTGTCCGTTAGAGCAGTTTCAACTGTATTTGGTCAATATGACTCTGTACCAAGGGGATCCAGCTAAGGGAAGTGTACTTTTGCTATTTTGCTATACAGAAGAATCAATCTGCTTTAATAGAAATCTGCTGGACCACCAGACTTTCTCCGATTTAACAGGGTTTTTGGTTCAGAGAGGTAGCTCAAATAGAAGTTAAAAAAAAAAAAAGAAAGAAAAAAGTAAAACCATAAATCCACTGCTGTTTTCGGATAAAACTGTTGGGTTCTAGTCAACACCACTGTATACCTGCCAGACCGTGACTCACCCTGTCGATAGGTCTCGGCCGCCAGGAACTCATTGATCATAGGTAGAGTGGTGCTGTCCACTAGTGAGGGGTATCTGGGATATACACAGGGAGGTGTCAGGTGAGGGACAGAGAAACAGTGAGGATGGGGAGAAGGAGAAGAGAAGACGGGGCAAAAAGGCAAAAATTGGGGGGTGGGGGAAAGGAGAAGGTAGAATGACAGAGTAAAAGCATTGCGTAGAAAAGAAAGACAAAGGAACAGTGAGAACGATGAAAAGGAAGAGGTTGAAAGAAAGAGAAATGAGGAGTGAGAGGGAGGGAAGGTGTGTGTGTTAGAGAGAGAGAGAGAGAGAGAAAGAGAGAGAGAGAGAGGAAACATCTGTTAATGCGAGTGTGTAAGAGGTCACGAAGCGGTGGAATCAGGCACTCGTCAATTTTTCGGAATAAGGGCTTATTGGTATCATCTTAAAGCTTTTAAAGCCTGTTCATTTGCCTTCCTCTTGAAGAAAAAAAAATCCATTTATGTTAAATAGAAGTCGAAATATTTGTGATTGAAGGAGGTCAGGGTCGCCTGGTTTCAGAGGTAAAATTAGCCAGAAAATGGCCGCCAAACTGTTCCCGTGGTTTTATGCACCCTGCATAATTTGGCAAATTTTGATCATTTTTTGCAAAATTTCTGATTATTTTCCTTTATCATTCTTTGTTAAAATTAACAAAATCGCATAATTTCACATTTTTGGGCTCAGTTTGCATAATTTCAAAATTTTTCTGGCATAAAACGACGGGGACAGGCCAAAGTTTGGTAACTTCCATAGCCTGGGAATCCTTGGAAACTTGAAAATTTACATTACTTTGTGCCTTTAATCAATATGTTCCAGTAAAACTCACACAGAAATGTGTTTTTAAAAGGACATAAAAGGTGTTGAGCCAAAAGAAGAAAATTAGAGAAAAAATAACTGCCCATCGGCCAAAAAAGTGCTGATTTCTTTGATTTCATTATTTTGACCAGCGCCTGATTTCATCAAGACGCCTCACATAATATATGCATTTTGTCTCAGGAGCTAGTCAAAGCACATTATCAACTTCCAAAAGGAGGGGGAGAAGAGGATAGAATGAATTATGGAGCTGAGAAAAGAACAGTAGAGTGGGAGAATGAGAGGAAGAATAATGGATGTGAGAGAATGGAAAAAATAAACCAAAGTAAACCTTTAAAGTACAGAAGTCACTCACCGATGCTGCAGAAGTTTGAGGAGTAAGAAGTTGCCCCTGTTGGACCCGATCACCGGCTCACTGTTGGGTGGGGCCCTGAGAGAACATTGTAAAAGTCCAGTTGCCATTGTTCTCAAAGGCTGAACCGTATAATTGCAGAAAGTATAAAGGTACTTACATTGGAAGAGCATGGAGAGAGGGAAAGAGAGAGGGAGGGAAAAGAAGGAAGGGGGGGGGGAGAAGAGAGGGGAGAGAGAAAGAGAAGGAGGAAAGGGGAAAGGAAGGGCGGGAGAGCGAGAGAGACATATAGACAAACCCTTTGACCTAAAATACCCCACTAATGTTTGAATATAGTTCTTTAGCACCATAGCAAAATTGCAAGATCCCAAAGCAGGCGAGTAAATTTACATTTGAGTGGAATTTCATAACCTATTGATTCGGTTTTTGTGACTTTTTAAAGCTCTGGTCTGTGTTCAGTTGTTTATGTCCCTGGCATCATTCTGTTTCACATTCTTTATAAAGCATGAGCAAGACAGTTTCAGTTATTTGGTAAGAATTCAACGCACTAGCTACACAATAAGATCATATAAGTTACAAAGATTAGAGGTGTTACAAGAGAGTAACATACAAAGAAAACGAAAAGGAGAGATAAGGACAATAGATATTTGATTTGATAGGAAATAAGAAGCTTACCACACCAGAGCACCCACCAGCCACCCACTGACCAAGACAAAGTTGGCTATAAGTAGAGAGGGAATGCACATAAATTATACTGCTGTAATGAAATAGAAAACTGCATCTCCCCTCGACGCTTAACGGCAACAGAGGATGAAAAAGTAAAAAAAATAAAAGTAATGAAATACTTACTCAGTAGAGATGATTTCGTCCTTGGTCCTTCTCACCAACAGCACTGGACCTTTGTAACTAGAGAAGAAGACAAACATAAAGTAAAGTGCGACTTTTATAACAAAAAAACAAATGCAAAATTAATCCGTCCAAGACAAACATACTGTGATTAATAGTACGAGGGCATTCAAAAAGTTCTGCCTCCAAGTTCATAATTTCTTTATTACTGATGCTACATACAAAAGTTATACACCAAAAGAAAGCTTAGGATGTCTGCTACATGACAGTACCTTTACTTTTCAATATAGTCGCCTTCTTTGCCGATGCAGATCCGCCAACGTTGAAAAAGTTGCTGCATGCCATTGGCGAAAAGTTCATGTGGTTTTCCTCTGAACCAGCGACGCACACCTTCCTGAACTTCGTCATCTGCATAACGTTTTCCTTTGAAGTACTCCTTCAACTAAGGAAAAAGATTAAAGTCAGATGGAGCAACGTCTGGACTGTACGATGAGTGCGGTAAGTTCTCTTGAAATCTGAGACTTTTCAAGGCATCTTGAGTTTGTCGACTCATGTGTAGATGAGCGTTGTCGTGGTGCAAAATTGCATTTTTTCTGGGCCGAACTCGTGACAGCTGTGCTTTAAGTTTTCTCAGGGTCTCTATCGTTCAGAGTTGATAGTGGAACCCTGTTAAAAAATTCCGCATGAATAAGACCATCGCAGTCCCAAAGCACTGTCAAAAGCACCTTCTTTGCAGATGAAACAACTTTGAACTTCTTAGGGCCAGGTGAGCCAGTGTGCCTGTATTCTTTCAATTGTCTTTTGTTCTCTGGGTCATAATGGTGCACACAAGTCTCGTCTCCTGTGACTATAGGGCGTAAGAAAGCTTCACTTTCATCAGTATAACGAGCCAAGAGTTCATCACTAACTTTACTTTGGTTCAATTTCAGCTCGGATGACAACATGTGGGGAACCCACTGTGAACACACTTTCCTGTAACCCAACACATCAAGGATAATATACTGAGCACTCCTTACAGAAATCCCTAGCATTTCACTGATATCTCTTACTTTGATCCGCCAGTTTGCTTGGACGATCTCATCCACTCTCTCCTGGAGTTGAACATCACTGGCAGAGTTGGGACGACCACAACCAGCTTGGTCATGCAAATCTGTCTCGGCTGGACTGGTTTCAGCGAACTCCTTTTCCCATCTTCAAACAGTACTAACATCTTACACATGATACTTCATTCGCCTATGAATATCAATGGGTGCTGCTCCCTCTGCAGTAAGGAACTCAATAACAGCTCTTTGCTTTAAGCACACATTCATAGGTTTGCTGGACGCCATTCTTCGGCGACAATGTACCAAAGCTTCTATGATATAAACAGCAAAAGCATAAAGGTGAGACATCATAGCATAATTCTGTTTTTTGGGTTTGAGAGTATAAATATCGAAAGTCAATTGTGTACAAATTTCATGAAGATATCTTGAATAGTCATTGGAGACGAGGCAAAACTTTTTGAACGACCCTGGTATTTATGACAAAATGAAATAGCCTTATTTTATTAAAACCAACAGAAAGAGTACAATTTCTTTGAAAAACTACCAGATTAATTAATCAGTAATGCTAATGACAAAAAGTCAAAAAGGAGGAAAATCATCGGGAAGAAGCCTGAATGAAGTGAGCATGGAAACAGCATGCAAATGAACGAGAATCGAGAATAAAGAAAGCCATCCAAAACGAAAACAAAAAAATCAAATTATTGTGATGCACAATTTAAATGCGGCACACGACAGCACGTGAGATGGCGATGATCATTTTGCAGAACTGAGAATTTGCGCTTGTCGAAGTACATTTTCGCATACTTCGGCGTCCCGACTTTCGTTAGACTCGGGAGGACGCCAGATAGCGGAGAAATTTCACCAGAAGGGTCAAAAACCCGGAATTCCTCGGATCCGAGGGAAATTAGCATCACTGATTAATGTACACTTTTCCGTCAATTTTAATAAAACAATACAACGGTCACACAACCAACCACAACCAAACCAAACAAGTGACACTTAACATTGTTTGAGGAAATGGTATATTTAGTACACCACTAGTATTTGGTAGTATATTTAAATGAAGAAATGTGGACATTGCTGAGAATGTTTCAGAGAATTCTTCTAGGGCAGTCAGGACATTGATAAAAGAAAGACAACACAGGGCCTACTTTAGAGTATGGATAAGTGCTATACATATTAGCAATGCAGTATTTCATTATGTAGATGTTTTTTAAACCCCCATAGACACAATTTCGATCATTTGAAAGGCAGGCTTTGACCCTATTTGTCAGGCCTAACCCAGGCTCGGAGGGGAATACTGTCCAAGAAAAAAGGTTGAGATACTGATCAAATTCCTCCTCAAACACGCAAGAATCATTAACAGCTACAATACACAAATAAAATGTTACAAACTCCTTCTGATAGCTGATCTACAACATTAAGATGAATGTATATCTTCTGCATGTGACAGACGTTGGTTCACTATATCATTAAGAGTTATTATACACAAATGTAAGGGTGCTGACAAAATGATTTACTTCTCAAAATCTGGGGATAGAGATCAGATATGACTACAAATAACCACATGGTAAAATTTGCAGAGTTTCAACTGATGCCATTTTCTTTAAGTAAAACAAGTTTTTTATCATTTCAAACTAATAATGTGTGCAAAGAACCTATAAACTCATCTATGATCGTAGGGCTGAAATCTGAAAAGTAACTCATTTTGTCAGCACACCTCACAAATAAAACGTTACAAACTCACTCTAATAGCTGTTCTGCAACATTTAGATCCATGTATGTCCTTAGACTAAGGCCAACCAAGCTTTCTGTGGGACAAATACAAAAAGATAATGATGCCAATGACAGATCACTACCCTAGAATTACAATGTTCTATCTGCTCAGTACCTAGTTTTGAGAAATTTGACGCGAAAAATTTCATTTCACAATATATCAGGCTCTTTCTAATGCTATTCTTTGAAATTCTTGATAAGGACTCAGAAAAATCTTGCAATTTTTATAGAGCAGATAAAACATTTGTTTTCTAACCTCATGGCCTCAGTAACTCAAAATGGCCAAAAATGTCAGAAAAATGTAGTTCTCAGGTAGCGATATACCAGCAATGCCTACAACAGCTCACCATGTGTGAACATCTCTGTCAAAGTTCTCAAGAAACCTAATAAGGCACTTAATTGGAGGGGAGGGGGGGGGTGTTTGCTGCAAAAAAAGTAGTGATTTAGATTCCTCATTCAGTCGGTTTGAGCTTGACAGCCTCATTTTGCTCAGTTCACTCTGCTAGAAAATACAACTTAGTAATCGGTAGAGTCGGAATGAGTATTAACTCTAGTCCTGCGGGGTTAACCGGAAGAGGGCTCTTATCGATCGATGACCCACTTACGTCGCCTGCGAGCTTGTGCCGCTGGGCGCCGGGGTCAGACACTGGTCACGCGAGCGTGCCACGGCAGGTCAGGGAAACACCTCATCTTTTACAGCAAACTGATACGATCAATGAATAAGTGTTACGATCACACGAATAATCCCATTATCTCCTCGTCGGTTGATCAGAGACGCTGAGATTGGAAGTTACACCAAATCGAATAACTTTTCCAGAGTTTTCCAGATTTCACACCTATTATGAATGAACTTGCGAACAGCTGCTTATCAGCTATCGTTCGAAAGAGGAAATAAATGGGATAATTTCCTAATATTCTTTTATTCAGTTGCTCTCCAATTTCTCCCTCTGGTAGGACAATGGTTAAAAAACCACCAAATATGATTATTTACATCAGGAAACAACGTTTTGTTTAAGAATTAGATCGTTAGAAAAGTGAGGAAAGGTGTTTGCATTGAAAGATGAAATTCTTATTTCCTGAATATCCTTTCGAGTCCCTCAAGTGTCTAACTGGGTCAAAATGCTCATATTTCATTGGATGAACGTCTCAACCGACGCTCTGTTATCTCTACCAACGCCTCACGTTGCAAAACAATGCAGTAAGTTCCAGATGGACACACAGGCACAAGCAGATTGACGCACACACATTTCATCACACAGATGCAGACCCCGCACTAAACGAAATGCGTTGCCCGCGCGGGACGACGACTGATTAGGGACCAGCTGTGGAGCGCCGCGCGGGATTGCACTTATCGGGCAAACATTTATCAGGGACCAGAATTTTAAGGGTTAAAGGTGTGCACTAAACAAGATTGTAACACTGTATATCCATCTCCAGCTAAAATGGTAATTTGGATTCAACAGACCAGCCAGTGGGAATTCATTTTAAGTTGAGAAGGCCTTAAGGGGATATGCATCTAAAAGAAAAGCTCTTCAATTTGAACAACTTAAAGTCTGAGCTAAGGAGAAGTAAATTTACATAACATAAATATCCATTTCTAAGATCAGGGGGAAAACAGGCTAACAGTAGCAACAGAGGGATAGTGAAAGCACACGGCCTACCAGTGATACCTTCCCAATCACTCCCTTTAAACCTGTGGTATTTGTTTTCGTAACAGTTTTATGGCGCTTGCAACACAATAAGACAATGTAAGTGGCAAAGATAAGAGGTGATACAAGAGAGTAACATACATAAAAAAAGAAGGGGAGATGAGGACGATAAATGCAGATAGGAAAGAGGGATCAAACCACACCATAGCATCCGCCCACTACCCACATACTATATCAGAACAAGGGCATTCGCCAACCACTCACAAGTTGCAGTCTATGGAGAGTCCGGTAAAACTGAACTGTAACAGAAACATTTGCAAGAAATAGAAGAACATGGCCACATCAGAGCATCCACCAATAAAAAGTATTCTACTCACTCCATGACTCCGGCATTTTGGCAATAGCCAGTGGAACAATATCATCAAATGTCGCATCAAGGATCTGGCAGAGAAAGGTATAATAAAATTACATTCTTTGAAACATGTTTTTTTTCATTTTAGTTAGCCCCCTTATTTTTCACCATGTTGCATCTGTATTGTTTTCCAACTTCATTTAGTGAGAGTTTTACGGCACTGGCAACACAATAAGGTCAAACAAGTGCAAAAGATTAGAGGAGCTACAAGAGAATGACCAGTATAAAAAAGGAGAGATAAGGAATACAGATGTTTGATAGGAAAAAAGGAACAAACCACATCAGAGCACCAATTAACCACCCATGAACTTCAGGTTCATTCCATTTGTGGACTTACCTCCAATTAGAGATTACAATTATTGTCACTTTGTGTATTAAGGATAGTGAAATTCTGGCAGTATAAAAATTTACCCAGTAGAGGTACAGGGCAAAACAAATGATCACATACATATAGCCTTGCAAAAACTTATAATGGGTCTGTGATTTCGACTGCAAGAAATTCCATAGACTCCCTTTTTAGCCAGGACTCAACATTGGGGTAGTAGTCTCTGAGGGACATTTTATAGAACTTCTGAACGACTTCATGATATCATCACTTTTTTGAACGACCCTGGTATTTATGACAAAATGAAATAGCCTTA